TTAGATGTATATTTTGCTTCTGTAAATATGTCTAATCCCTTATTTTATTTTTATTTCTAGTTTATATACTTACATACATTAGTAATTCATTTTGCACTACATGCTTAATCCTTTTTATATATTATTATTATTACTATTATTATTATTATTTTTCTTTCTGTTAATACATATGTGTACTATTTGTAAGCAGTCCAGCTGCAATTGCTTTGGCAATACAAATGTATAATTTTTGTCATGCCAATAAAGCACTCTTAAATTGAAATTGAAATTGAGAGAGTGTGTGTGTGAGAGAGAAGAGAGAGCGAGAGAGATAGAGAGTGTGTGTGTGTGAGAGAGAGAAGAGAGAGCGAGAGAGAGAGAGTGTGTGAGAGAGAGAGCGAGAGAGAGAGAGTGTGTGTGAGAGAGAAGAGAGAGAGAGCGAGAGAGAGTGTGTGAGAGAGAGAGCAAGAGAGAGAGAGTGTGTGTGTGAGAGAGAAGAGAGAGTCGTAAGCAACTTGTCGCATACCAAATCCTGACAAACCAGACGAGATATTCGCGCCATTGTGCTTTTGAAATGAAGCTTTTTCCCAGACCACCCTCACACACAAACTCCATCTCCAGGGACGCTGGAGCCGATGTGAGAGGGTCAGGTTTTGCCTGCATTTTGGCAACCAAATGTTCCCACAATGACAGCACAATATGAAATATGCTGACTACGTTTGCATGGACAGTTTTACAAAGTTTACAGCATAAAACTTTGAAAGTTTTTGATTCTTATCCCTTGTGGAAGTCTTGCAGGTGCTTTCTCTATTTATTTATTTATTCCATTATTCGTATTTTGCACAATGATTTAATCAATATATTGTCTGACTGCAGCAAACAAGAACACAATGACCTGCAAAAGTGATGAGGTACTTTAATGTGTCTGTATGTTGATTTTATACTCACTTCTTGTAATGCTTAAAATAAATAAGTACATACATACATACATACATAGCCTACAAAAACGCTCCTCCTAAAATGTTTCTTCAATAGTTTCCTCACTGAAAAATAAACTGGTGTAGGATTTACTTTGAAAAAATATCCACTTAGTAATTGCTAGTAAATTACAAAGAAACACCAAGTAACATTGAATTTAACTTGATTTTTTTTAGTAGAAAGACTGAAATAGCATTTTCTTCTAAAATGTTCTTCAACAGTCTTTGTTTTATTTACAATTTAGAAATATAACGTTTATTGTGTGTCTGTCTAATATCACCAATAATTACCAAATATTCTGATTTATTCAGGCATAAGCCATCTGTTATTCCGATAGAAACCAGAATATTAGCTTAATCCGTTTATGGAAAAAGAGTTAATGCATTTAAATGACATTTACATAATCATAACCTAGATGCTTATATTATTCACAATGTGTGTACAAAAATGTTTAATAAACATACCAAATAGCATCCTGTAAATGCAAAATGTTAAAATGCAGCAAGGTTTGTCTGAGGTTTAGGTTTATGGGATAGAAAATATAATTAGCAGTAGAATGTAAAGTCTCCACCATAATAGAAACATAAAGCAACATGCTTTACATATTGTCCTCACTTTTGCAGGAGATGAGAGAAACAGGCATCTAGGAGATGATGTTAGTACCGCACTGCTAATGAAATGCAATGTTATCCAGCCTGAGAAAGAGCAGAGTTCCACAGAGTGAGAGAGAGACGGAGAGGGGGGTGTATGGAGGGAGGGAAGTGAAAAATGGCAGGCTGAATGCGACAGATGCCTCAAAATTGGCTTAGAGCGGGTGAGAGTCTATTTCTTATGCTTTCAGTCGTTTTAAAGATCAATAAACACACAGTGTGTGTGTGACTCCCGGACGTGCGTAAAATAATCTGAGGTCGAGTAAAACGTGAAAGCGTGATGGGTAATCATGTGAAAAGACTAGTCCCAGTTTTGGATCAAGAGAGTTTTTTTTTTTTTTGGCCTGTCATTGGTCTGGGCTCGTGTAAGCGCGTGGCGTTGCCAAGATATGCTCCTCATTAAGCATATTATCAAATGACCAAACTCGGACATCTGCACAGTAGTACAGTGAACTACGACCTTCAAAGGTTTTCTCGACCGATATTCATATTCATTTCCTCTCTCCGCCTCTCTCACTCACACACACGGAGCAGGGAATGGCTAATGCTGGGTGACAGCTCTTTCATGCAGTAATGTTGGTGAAAAGAGAGCTATATCCAACTCTTGACTGACACACACGGGCAGACTCCCCACCCCCTCATATAAGTATACAATAACACACACACACACATACTATATTAGCTGTTTGAGATACTAGGATTGGTTCACACGCAAGTGCAACACCTTGGAGAAAGGAATTACTGAAATGCGACTGTAATGACACCTTACTCAAACACAAACACGCAGAGATAGAACTAGAGAGAGATGGAGAGACAGTTTTGATCAATTGGACTGCACGTTTCCCTGAGGCAATGGAACGATGAACCGCAGACCAGAGAAGCACTTAACAGTCCCAGTGCAGAAAACACACACGCAAATATACACACGTTCACATTGCTCTGTCGTTTAAACCTCAAGTATGTGCTTTTTGATGTTGAAATACATTTAGTGATCCAGTGTAGTGCAGGGACAACTATGAGGAAGCAATTCGTATGTTATTTTCTGAAAATGTTTACTCTTGTCTTTGTGGCGGGATAAAATATTCTATGGCAAACAGTCCGACACAGATCAACCAAAGGCGCCAGTTTGGGGCGGGGCTATGTGTGTGTTCGACCAATGGAAGATAAGGGGTGTGTTCAGGAAACCTGTTTGACAACGATCATTATTCCTGCAATTCCGTTTGTTGCCGCTAGTGGCATAGACATTATACACTTAAAGGGTTAGTTCACCCAAAAATGAAAATTAGCCCATGTTTTACTCACCCTCAAAGCATCCTAGGTGTATATGACTTTCTTCTTTCAGACGAATCCAATCAGTTATATTAAACATTTTCCTTGCTCTTCCAAGCGTTAGAATGGCAGTAGGCGAGTGTTTTTTTTTTTTTCAACAGTCCAAAGTAGTCAAATAAAGCTCATCCATCCATAATAAAACGTGCCTCACACGGCTCTGGGGGGTGAATAAAGGCCTCCTGTAGCGAATCGCAGAGATTTTGTAAGAAAAATATCCATTTAAGTCTAACACTGAAATCTAACCCTTTAAGTTTTAAGATCAATACATACAGTAGTGCTTAAATTTACACCTCATCTCACACCCATAGTCAAGGGATAGATACAAACACAACAAAAAACCAAGAACATTTTATCGTTAGAGTTAGTCTCTCTGGTGTAATAGGTATTGTCGTTTCATAGTCTAACAGTTTTAATCTGGTCAACATCTATTTGTAGCTGTGATCTGTTATACTCATTCACAATAATGTTGTATGGTTACAGTTTTTTTTTTTACACAAACATTTTTTTTGCCGTATGCTCTGCGTTGACTTGAACGATTTCAGCACCACGGACAGCGCTTAAAGCGGCTGCTTCAATAGTCTCTTAACCACTAGAGGGCGCTGTGAGCGCTGACCATTTAAAATATGCTGTCAGGCAAGTGCTTATTCTGTGGACCTACATATGATATTTAGAAAAGAGTCTTACAAAATAAGAACATTTAAATTATTTTAATTTTTTTTTCCCCACTAAAATTTGTCAACATTCTGCAGAAAGGCAGTGAACCAAATCACAGCCAAAACACAACAGTACACAGTATTTATACAAGAAATATTCAATATTTCTCAACTCTTTGAAAAAAAAAGCAATATGTTCATCATTTAAAATTTGTTCAGTAACAAGTAATTCCCACTTTAGCATTTAATGATAATATTAATACTAAAACTAACAATTCACAGATTCCATGATGAGAAACTCTTATTAACTTAAGTTCAGTAATATATATATATATATTTTTCTATCACCTATAGAAGGCAATAGTTCTCTTATGTGCTCTAATGTGTATGTCTAAATACATGAATTGTCAGTTCTGTTGTGTGCGATTGTCAAGTGTTCTGCATGAACCCTCATTCGATCCATTGCAGTTTAATATGCTACAATTTCACAACATTCAGTCTTAGAAAGAGGCCTTTTGTTACAAACAGTAACTTCCTTTTCTCATATAAAAAACTACATCTTGCCTTACATCATATTTCTGTTTCTCATTGTTTATGAATTATCTCAGTAAAAACAAACACCCTGTAAACTTTCTCTTCTGTCTGCGTTTAGCATGGTGAGGCGCTCATGCGCATATGTGTGTGATAGTGCGGGGGCGGCACTGCAGCGGGCGCCGCAGACAGAGGCAGGGTCTGGGATGCTGCAGCTGCCCTGTGCGCCCCAGGGTGGAGGGGATGGTTGTGGGGGAATGGAGCTGCAGAACCTGGTGATTGCAGCTGGTATCCAGCTCCAGAGGTGGGGATGGACGCAGCGGTGATTCCCGGAGATGATGTGCTCTGCTGGCCGCTGATCTTCAGTGGGGGCTGGGGGTTGTGCGTGAGCTGGATGGAGATGTCGCTGGAGATCTCGGAGGTGCTCCGAGCGCGCTGGGGGGGAGGCCAGGTCTCTGGGTGCAGGTACTGGCCGCTGTAGTTGCTGCCCTCAGAAAGGCGGGGGCGATAGAGAGCCGGGTGAGGCCGATACATCTCCTCTTCAGCGTAACGCTTCATAAAGAGATACACTGACATCACACCAGCACCCTGAGAGAATGAGAGGAAGAGTTTAAAGGGGTCATATGATGCGATTTCAAGTTTTCCATTCTCTTTGAAGTGTTACAAGCTGATTGTTCATAGATAAGATCCCTGAAGTTGCAAAGACTAAAGTCACAAAACCAAAGAGATATTCTTTATCAAAGTTAAGACTCTGCCACGCCCCCCTAAAACGGCTCGTTCTAACACGCCCCCACATATCTACCTCACTATGTGGAAATATTTGCATAATGCCGCCCAAATGTGCACGCAAAGAAAGAAGGCATGGTTTCAGTAACCGCAGTTAGTGTTGAAACAGCATGTCAGGGAGACGCTGTGTGTTTCTAGACGAAAGCAAAAGCACTTTATTTGGCCTTCCGAAACTAGATGCATTTAGGAATCTTTAAGATCACTTACAACAGAACAGCAATGCATTTTATGGAAGACCGTTTCGTGAACCTAGGAGAGGAGGTAATTCAGAATCAGCTACTGTTTTGTTATTAGTTTAAGTATTTGCTATTGACTGTTCAAATGCGGAGTTTTGCGAATCGTGTGTGTGTGTGTGTGTGTG